GACAGAGGAGCAGCACCTCAGCCTCCACCTGGGCACATCGCTTCCCTGGCAGCACAATTTTACACTTTACAAACAAGGCCATGTTAAAGTGTAAAATTGCCTTTGCAGCGTGCTTAAGTGACTTGGTTTCATATCTTAAAATTTTCGGAAGAATTTTGAGAATTCCAATACAGCCATTGAAGAATTTCAAAAGCCTTTTGATGTGTTAATGTAATTTTGACTGAATTACAATCTTGCACAAGTTTCCTGCTCCAGCAAAATAAATTATTTACTTACTCTTTAAATACCATCCCAATCTTCTAATTTCTTTGCTGCATGCGTTCTAACACATATGCTGCCTTCTCTTGGATTAGATTTCTGCTTTTAGAAGTATTAAGATTAGCTTAAATTCATTAATTCTTCCTACACAGCCAGCTTACTTCTCTCTCATTTCCATTTTTATTCAAATTACTCCTGACTTCATGGTTTGTGTCTTCCATAACACAGCTATGGTTCAGTAATTAGCTTTCATTCTGAAGCAATAAATTTTAATTTCCTTATTTTACTTCAGAGCTTTTCTGACTAGACTCCTTCCCCTATATTTTAACATTGTTTTTATGAATTAGAAAGAAAGGAAAGAGAACAGTCAAAATACTTTACAAATTATTTCAGTACATTTATGCATTCCTTATATCTCTTTCTAGAGAAACAGACTTCACATTTAGCATAAATTCTTGGGGGTTTCTTCACCAAGTGTGTCGCTTTTTAGTGTTTTTCCAAAGGGAGCAGAAATAAAGTAAATTTTTAGTATTTTTCCAAAGGGAGCAGAAATAAAGTAAATTTTTAGTGTTTTTCCAAAGGGAGCAGAAATAAAGTAAATTTTTAAATGAAGATTGTTTTGGGGAACAGGGAGAAGTGAAATGGATACCCAAGACAAATGTCAGGTAATGCTTCACACGGACATCTAATGAGAAAATCTAAGTTTAAAAGTGTTGTGAAGTGGGAGTTAGATTTATGTGTAAGGGAAGAAAACATCTTACTCAAGATTTGCTAAGAAAGACAACTCTCCTCTCTGTATTTCATCTCCAAAAAACATTGATTCCTCTTTCCTCCCAGATCTACATGCGGTTTCTGGACTATCAGATGGAGCACTCCAACGAGTGCAAAAGGAACTTCGTGGCTGTGTATGACGGGAGCAGCTCCATTGAGAACCTGAAGGCCAAGTTCTGCAGCACGGTGGCCAACGATGTGACGCTGCAGACGGGCACGGGCGTGGTGCGCATGTGGGCCGATGAGGGCAGCAGGCTGAGCCGCTTCAGAATGCTCTTCACCTCCTTTGTGGATCGTGAGTACACTGAAAGGGCCCATTCTCCTGCTCAAGTCTCTTAGTAAGCAGCAGGAAAACATGAAAAAGATTGTTTCTGTTTCCTTCACATACTGGCAGGTAAATTAGATAATTGCTTTATTACATTTCTAACATGGTTCCTGAAGAAAAGCTTTCCTGCATGCTTAAAAGGCTTATTTTCCATTTGAATTCAGCAATACTGCCCTAGGCTACATCCTTCTCACAAAGACGCATCCTTCCTTACAAATGAGCGCAGACTTATTTCAAAAAGACAGCAGTGGGACTGAAGCTTGCTCTCCCACCAGCACCCAGTTCCCTGCCAGACACCACAATGGGCTCTTCTTAAGGCCACTCTGGGTGTTCAGAAGAACAGAAAACTGATCCTGTAAAGTCTTGCTCTCCTTCCTAAACACAGCTCTGTCTTCAGTTGTGGGTCTGGACCTGCAGCCCCTCCAGCCAAGCTGCTCCCTTATCCTCAGCTGCATTTGGCTCTGATGGACCCCACATGTGCTCCCTTAGCAAAGCCCTGTGGTGTTGCCCAGTGATAGACAAGTGGTTAAATTCAAGTTTACTCAAGAAGCCTGTAATTAAAGCTGAGTTGTAAATGCCATCTGGATTTTTGTTTGGATTCCATAGCCTGGGTTAGTTTTTATTCTCATTGTAAATTAAGATGTTTCTTGAAGGCAGGCTTTTTGTGAGATTTTTTTTCTTCCAAAGGTGTTATACCTGAATGGAATTTTGTTGCCTCACATATTTACAGAAGACAACACTGTCCACACTGCAGAACCATTGCAGTGCTGTTTATATGGCACTAAAGCAGACTGGTTCAGAGCTGCAGAACACATCTGAGATATATGGGGAGAGCTGAATGTAATATTCCCATTTCAGGAAGTCAGACCTATGCTGGTGCTAAAGGTTTTCAAAAAGTTCTGCTTGAAGAATAAACAGTACAGATTTGCTAACCAAAAAAAAAAAAACTTTTCTGACAGAACATGTCTGTAGCCAGTCCTGAATGACATCTTGGTCACTAACTTGCACAAAAGTTCAGGTTACAGGTAACAGGTAGACTTTATGTTATGTTCCATAAAACAGTGAATTTTAACCTAGCAGAAAAGCTACTTTTTATAAAACAACCTTTCTAAAGTAACAATATGTATAAGAGAAATAAATTCTAGCTTACTTTGAGTACATGGTAGTAAGGAACAGTTGCATGCTCTAGAATATTGCTTAGCCTACAAGAAGCATTTAATAAGCTTTAGATATTCAGAATTTAAATAAATGTCAGTTTTAAGTACAGCTTGCAAAAATTGATAACTGCCTTTCCACTAGCTTTTATTTCAATACAATCATTAACATTGGTGATAGTGCAAGTTATTTTAGCTTTCAATGTAGAAAATGCTATGAATTTGCCAGGGAAATTGTCTATTTATGTTATAATTATTGGAGTGGCTTTTTTGTTGTTGTTGAGCTTGGATTTTTGGGGCGGGGGTTGTGGGGGGGTTTTAATGCAAGAGGTTGAAATATGAAATACTTCTAAAGGCAGATAACTTTCCAAATTTATAAGTTTAAAGCAACTCAAAAGTCATTGGCAGAAGAACATCTGCAAAGGTATGTGGTTATTGTTATTTACCTGAGATACTGCCTTTCTTGGGTAGGGCCATTGAAAAGTATGTGGCTGTAAAGTGTTTCAAGTATTCTTATATAATCTAGTCATAAGCAATGAATCTAACTGAAAAAAGTGAATCTGAGCTTACCTTATTTTCAGATTGTTAAGCTATCTTTCTCTTCTGCCTTGCTAATGATTTGTAATTACATGAAGCCAACCATAAAAACAATCAATATTTCTGGAAAGATTTCCATAAATGAACTAATAGTGCATGACAGTCACCTAACACACACCTAGCACTGTTTGCAGGTTTGAATAAGTAATTCAGCTAACAGCAATGTGAAAAATCAATGTATTTGATTCCTAGCTTGATTCAATAGATGAGTAATGCTGGATACAAAGAGCACTGTGAGCATTGCACCACTTTTGGGCAGCTGTTATAAGAGACCAGCTATGTCCTTGAAGTCCTAGGCTGGAATTGATCAACCATTGTGACTTTTAGACTTCAAACTCCCCAAATAACAAACAAAAGGAAAATGAGTCCATTTGTCCCATCTTCATGAACTGTGAACAAAAGCCATGCCCACAAAAATTTAAAGGGACTACACAAACATGTAAAATAGAGCCTGTGCTGGCAGATGGAGAAGCAACAGCAGAATTCATCAACCAAATACAGAACTGTAGGAAAAATTCAGCTGTTCAGGGAAATGAGAAGGAGGATATGTTTAATATGTTTACATTATGGCATAACTGACAGAACAGGCCTGATCTCAACCTTCCAAAGGAGTGACCCTGTTTTAAAGCAGTGTTCTTCAGGCTAGAGCTGCTCTCCAAACAATCACACTCTCAACTCACTTGAGCAAGGAGGTGATGTGATGGTTACTGCTACATTTTGAAGCACTGAGATTACATAGATAAACTGTTCCAAAATACCCTCTAAGTACGTTCTGTATTCATACTTGCACTACAATTAAAGCAAGTTTTTGTATGGAACTTCTTGCCAGATTGCCAGGGTTAAGCAGTAACAGCAAATAAAAATGCTTAAAACCAATGAGTGTAAGTTACCCAGCTTCAGTGGAGTAAGCCATGGAAAGACAGTACATATTTAATTTAGGAATGCAAAATCAAAATTATAACTTTTAATGTTCTTTTTTTCTTAGGCATAGCTCCTCTTTTTGTCATTGAGATTCTCAAGCCTAACAGAATGACTAAGTGACAAATGCAGTGCTCACGAGCAGTCATTCCCTCTGCTCTACCCTTTGGGTTTCCTGTGATGTTTCAGAGAATCCAGACTGCTCAAGAACACATTCTTTCTGTGAAACCAAACAGCAGAATGTCTACCACACATCTTTGCTGTTTAGTATAGAAGTGACTCCACTAATAACAAACATTTCCATCATAAAATACCACATTACTGAAACAAAGGGAAAACCAATTCCTTGGTTTCTTGGTGCCCTGAATTTATAAATAATTCCCTATGTATATGATACAACACCCTGGAAAGAATTGTCACTACTTTCTAATATCTTTTTTCTTATGTCAAGGAGCTGTAACAAATACAAAACCATGGGGCAGCCTTCTAGTTAATTCCTTTCTTCAGATTTCTGGCTATATATAGATAGATACATAAAAAGCTAAAGTGTGCTCTCTCAATCCCTGCATTAGCTCTAATAGGAGGATCCAAGAGCTTTTGATTCACAAGCAGGAATGACTTAGATGCCTCTAGTTATTGAAATCTCTTGCAGTTACTGAAACAGTCCTCCACCAGCTGAAATCTGATTTGCCTTAAGATAGTAATGGGCTCTAAATGCAGATGCTCAGGGAGTGCTTCACAACATCCACACAGCAGATGCTCCAGAATAAATATATCATTGATAGTGAGCATGGGATTTTTAAGTATTAAGTTTTTAAAGACACGTACTAAAACCTCCTTCCATCATCTGTGTTTTGTGACTGTCTCTATTTGCTCCCTACCCCTTTGGAGCAAGAATGGGTTTGTAGCATTGATAACACTGAAATTGCTGAAAGCAATTACATGGAGAGAGAAAAGCATCAGATAGTGACGTGCAAGAGAAATGATTGTGTTTGAACCAGAGAGGAAGAATGCATGTTAAAAACCCAGATACAGAAAGTTAATAGTTTTATTGCGAGGCATCAATTACTGAAAATTCTGAATGTTTTCTTTCTCTTCTCTCCTGCAGCTCCCTGCTCAGGCAACACTTACTTCTGCCATAGCAACATGTGCATCAATAATTCTTTAGTCTGCAATGGCATCCAGAACTGTGCATACCCTTGGGATGAGAATCACTGCAGAGGTGAATATAGTGCAAACCACAGCCTTTATGAGCTAGGCTGGTCAGTTTGCCTTTCAAGAAAGTCATGAAATGTCTTTTTCCTGGAAATATGCTGAAGACAGCTATTCTACTAATCTCAGGAAGGTGTTCCAAATTTTTTATTTAAACTCAGGACACACGTAAGCATCCTGGATATTGCTCTTACTGCTTTTAACTAAATTTCTTCTTCTTCAGCACATACTCTCTATTTTAAAAGGATATCAGCTTGATAAGAACTAGAATTTAGTATTTTTGAGGCTGCATCCTATCAATTTCTAAACTGTAATAAAGCAAGGATTGTAGGGACATTGTACCTTCAAAAGGTAATACCTTTTAGAGATAAAAATAAAGAGCTGAAAAAACACAGAACTAAGTTTTCAAGCACAAAAACCCTCTCAGGGTTGAAATAGAAGTAACAGTCCTCAAAGCAAATTTTAAAACATTTGTTTAGATGTGTAAATCACAGGCTATTTCAGGATAAATTCAGCTGCTGTATATGGTGTGAGGAAGGATGGGAGGAAGGAGGAATTGCTAGGGAGCATGAAAAAAACACTTATGGAATACAGACACATGTAAATTCCTGCTTCTAGAACATGGCTTGGGAGTATTATTTCAATCATTGCAACTACAGTAAAGACTTGTTTCAATATCAGGCTTTGTAGGAAAAATTCTCATAATTTGAAGAAATTGTTATTCTGTTAAAGCACAGACATTCTCCTGTGCTTCATGAATAGCTCAATTGTCAGTTAGAACAAAACCAGTCTAAGGTCAACCATTTTTCTTGCTAAAGAAAACAATAGAACAAAATCACGTGAGTTGTTTGCTTAGAGTTTTTGACAAATAGAATGGCAACAATAGGTCTGAACACAAAACTCCAGAAGATTTAAGTATGTATTCCATTTCAAATAAAACTGACCCTGCAGAAAAAGTCAAAACCTTCTCTATAGAAAGTCTTGAAAGAAAATTTCTTTTCAATGCAAAAATTCTGCTTGCATTTTTTAAGCAAATAAACATTACAAAACCCCTACTTGTTAATTGCATTTTGGGTAAACAAAGAAATTCACACCACTAGTAGATATTCTAATGTAATATTGTGGAAGTTTTCCAGTCAACAAAACTGGTCCATAACTCCCAAGTTTGCAATGTAAAACTAAGCTTCCTCTAAACAATCCTTACCTTTGATAATACTCAATATTCCCTCTTAAGTTTAATTTCTAGATCTCTTTCCCATCTTTACCATTTTCTAGACTCTCCCCTAGAATTCACACATCACTAATGTACTGCAGTATTAAAAAAAAATTAATTCCATAAAAACTGTGTCTTTCCCAATATTTGTAAATTGCTGTATCTGATGTTGAATAAGCCATCATGTTTTATGTTGAATGCAATCTAAATTCTGCTGTAATACTTGCACAGCAGAAATTAAGAGACAGCTGAAGACTAGAGCCACATTGCCAGCTAAGGGAGACTGATGCAACCAAATAAGCAATTCTTAGCCTTAGAAAGAGCTGCTCACAATTGTGCTCAGTTCCTGCAGGCACCCAGAGTTCTCATTTAGTCCATATCAATAGCTGCATAAATCTGAGCATATTGTGACCTACTTATGCCTAAGCCCTGTAACACAAAAATTGATAGAGAAGTCAGTTGTGTGCAATTTATTTTAAGAGACTGGCGAAGACATCGCCTTTTGCAAAACAACTTTTTTTGATTAAAATATCTGCCAAGAATTAAGAAACCTAGATGCAGACAAGAGAACTGCCATAGCAGTGAAATTCATGCCTCCCACCATGGATGGCATCACTGTGATCTAAGGCAGGACAAGGGGAGAGCTCTTCCTTCACTTCAGAGGTAAAAAGTCGCTCAAAGGAGCCCAAGCTCTGAAGCAGAAATGGAATTTCTTATGAACCAACTCCTTGGGAGTCTCTGCTCAGCATAAGGATTGTTTCAAATAACACATGATGGTGTATAACTCTCCCCATGCACTGTGTGTGGTATTTAGGTACATAACACACTCATTCAGATGCCAGGAGCCAGATGTCTGAAAACATTATGCAAGATATAGGCTACGACATTTTCTTCTTCATAGTCTTAAATTCTTCTCTGCCACTAGCCAGTGTTGCAGTGTAGAAATCTCTCAGTCCCCCAGGACAAAACATTAATGGAACAGAAGTTCAACTGGAAAACTTTAATCTTCAAATAAAAATTTTAAATATGGAAAACCATCTTGTTCTGATGCTGCCATCTTGTGTGTTTTCACATGAAGTACTAGCCAAAATTGCCAGATGATTTGGGTTGGTTGGTGTATCCCCCTACCTTTTTGTTTTTCAAGTAACTTCATCATTGGACTCCTAGAACTGGAATAAGAGCTTTGCTAAAGCTCCCTGTGATGAATTAGGTGTAACTGACTCACACAATAGACGCAGCCATTACATTTCCAAGAGATGTTACAACAGTACAGTCATTCTTATCTCTGATAATATTTCACTTTTAAAGAAGAATGAGACAGTTTTAAATGTAGGTTTTCTTCTACTGACATCACTGAGAATGTTACCAGCAGGAGCCAACCATGGTAAGAAAAACATCATCTGTAGCTGGATTAAAGCTATTTAAGGTTAATTTAAGCCTATTTAGCTCATGGATTTAGGAATATAGACATCAGTAAAGGTTCAGGATGGAAGGCTCATCCCAGCTGAGTCAGCAGGCACTGGTTCACAGAGTTGCACCTGCCACTGAATTATCCTGAATTATCATATGGTAGCCACTAATGACAGGGAATTGGACAAATCCCATTGACATACAGCTCTAGTCTCCAGTCCCATTAAGTAATTTTATCACTTGCATGGCAATCTCAATACAGTCTTGCTTTGTTTAAATACCTTATCAAAAGTGCAGAAACTAATAAATGTCTTGTCACAATCACTTTCTTCCTTTGCAGAAAAGAAAAGAACTGGATTGTTTGAACAAATCACCAAAACCCATGGGACAATCATTGGCATCACAACAGGGATAGTTTTAGTTCTTCTCATCATTTCAATTCTAGTGCAAGTAAAGCAGCCTCGAAAAAAGGTTATGGCTTGCAAGACTGCCTTCAATAAAACTGGTTTCCAGGAAGTTTTTGATCCTCCTCACTATGAACTGTTCTCACTAAGGGACAAAGAAATTTCTGCAGATTTGGCAGATTTATCAGAGGAACTTGAAAACTATCAGAAGCTGCGCCGCCCTTCAACAGCTTCCAGATGCATCCACGACCACCACTGTGGCTCCCAGGCCTCCAGCATGAAGCAGAGCAGGAGCAACCTGAGCTCCATGGAGCTGCCCTTCCGCAACGACTTCGCACAGCCCCAGCCCATGAAAACCTTCAACAGCACATTCAAGAAAAGCACTTACACCTTCAAGCAAGCTCACGACTGCCCCGAGCAGGTGATAGAAGACAGGGTGATGGAGGAGATTCCATGTGAAATTTATGTCAGAGGAAGGGAAGATACAGCACAAGGTTCATTATCTATTGACTTTTAACTTCCTGCTGGAGGCGGTGTCGGTGTATATACAAAGTGCTCATGTACAATGACAGTGTATATATTAAAGGTGTACCATACGCGGCGTGTGAGATGCACACACTTTTAGCTTACTGTACTTCATTCCAAAACACAAAACCAGTCTTCATAATTAATTCTTGCTGGAAAAGTGGTGGATTTCCTCCCATCTTCCCAAGCTACCTATCTAGTGGAGGAGTAAGATGGAGACTTTGCATGGAAATTATCAGATAGGATGGTGGAAGAAAAAACCCTACAACTACTAATCATTGAACACTGAAAGCAATGACTACTGTTCTCTTCTTCATACCATTTACTCTTCTTTAGATGTCTGCTTTTCAAGACAATTTTAATACCTCACTTGCATAAATAAAAGTAGTTAAGTGCACTATGTGTATGTCAACATAGGTGTCTTATTGTATTTGTCAAATTGAAAGTAGAGTTAGTGTTAAGTGCCAGTTCAGACTCATGAATTATGTTACAGCCATCTGTTTCACTTGCCTTTAATTATCATTTCCACACTCTAGGCTTTGTGAGAAATAAGTGAAAAGGGTCACTGCCTTTTAACAATATAAAGTTATAATCATTTTAGTACATGTGGAAATATCTTTGCAGCTTTCAGTTAAAACACAAGTGAGTAGTCATTTTATTCTAGATGCAGGCTTTTACAACAGTTTTCTTTCAAGAAGGTTTAGGATTTTAAAATATTCTGCCATATATTATAGCTCCATATGGCACATTGATTTCACAGCTCTGTACTTAGGAAACAATTTTGTTCCTGAGTTTTCCAAGTATTTACATAAATAGATTGTACTGTACATTTGTCTCTTAAAATAGCTTTTTACTCCTTGTTGCAGCCAATCTTCCCTACTGAAATCAGCAATGATACTTTTAGCTCATGTCCTACTTGCCTGAAGAGAACTGCTCTGAGGTCTGTGTGATTACTGGGTGTATGAAGGAACTGGAAACAAAGAAATCACAAAGCAACTCTAATTAACCCCTATGGAATCCTTCTTGTGCCCCTTGTTTCCATTTGCAAAATTGCACATTTCATACCTTTTTAAATGGTGGTTTGGACCTAATTTAAAAATTTTTACAATATAGAAGGAAATTTTTAAAATATATTCTCATTGTGGTTTTTAAGCTTTTTATATAGTTTGATACTGTACAGCCTCTTTCTTAAATCCCAATCTAGCACTGGACAGCAGGCTTCTTTCAGGGTCCCTTTTAGCAGTTCTGACTGACCTGCAGTTGTTGCTGCACACATCACAATTTGCCAAGAATACTCGTCCTGACTTCCACATTAGCCTACACTTTCTTCCCTGGGCAGTTTGAGCTTATTTGGGTATTGTGTTTACAGGAAACCTTTGACTAAAGCTGATCCCCCAGCTAGCACTGGGCACAGCCTTTATTTACAGAGGGATGTCAAACCAGAGTGTTTGTTGTGATGATTGTAGTACAAAAAAAGCCCCAAAAAAGTCTTAACCTATGACTCTTGCAACTGAAAATAAATTCTTTGAAATAAAGATGAACAACAGCTGTAATCACAGATTTTCAGTAGAATGATAAAGATTTTTTAAACGCTTAAAATGTACAACACTTAAGGGGAAAAAGAAAGGGGAATTGACTTTCTTCAGCAATCCCCAACTTCAAAATTAACTCTGTGTCTCCTGTTTAAAAAGAACTTAATCAGCTCTTATCTTAGACCCACAAGGCTGGATGTACCCTAATGCCAGTTTTTGTGCTGGTCCCAGAATGTATTTCAATTTGAATGAATGAAAATGGACTTTATTTTTAGATGCACTACATGCAGGAAATAAATGTAAAAAAATCTAGTTAATTGTTACTTGAAAATTTTTGAATATTCAATGAAAACATTTGGCAGATTTTATTTACTTCTCATTGATCTTAGGATGAAACATCTCACCATGACCTATAGGACACACCATGCTATTTGTGACAGTTTGTTAGTTCCAGATTGTTTCAACAAGTAATATGTAGTTTTACACGGGTCATTCTAATCCAAATAACTTGTAAATGCTAGGTTTGCACGCCTGAGTTTTATTTTTTAGGTGTATTTATCCATGTGCTAAAAATAACATGATCCCTACTCTTTCCCAAGCTGTGCTGCCTTTGAGCAGTAAAGCTGCACTAATAAAACAAACAGGAAGCCTGCAGAGCCCAAGTGTGTGGAGAAGAGGGAAATTGAAGAAGTTCCCAAATGGTTTGAGTAATATTTCAGTCTCTGTGGTAGCCTTGTGATTACATGGTCAGAACACAGCTGCCTTTTGGCTGCCCCAGAGCAGAGCAGAGCAGAGCTCCCACAGCCAGTCCTGGCTTTTGAGCATAGCTGGTTCCAATATCCCATGGGGTGTTTGAAAACCAATGTGCCTACACAGCCCATGGCAGGCTGGGCTTCACTCACTGAGCTGTGCTTTAAGAAATGAGTCAGAACTACTAGAGCCATACTTGCACTTGCACTAAAATCAACTTCCCTTCACTGCAGAGAAAAGCTAACTGGGTGGGCTGCTGGGTACCACAGTACAGAGAGCTGACACATCCAGAAAATGAATCTAGCAGTGCTTTGGCAGTCTCAGTCCTGTTGAAGCTGATGGTGTGGTCTTAAAGCTTTTTTGGGCAATAGTGAAAAATGTCACATTTCATACTACTGCAGTATCTGAACACCATTAGGCTATTTCCATTGTGTCCAGCTTAAATCCATACATTTCTAGGAGCACTCTGATTTTGCACTCCATTGTACCCATATCTGCAATGCCCTCTGCTAGCACTGAACGCTCCTTAGCAATGGCACACTCACTAGGAACACACACTGAGCAGGACAGGACCAACAGCATTGACCACTTTTTGGGATTTCTAACTCATTTTTACCTTTTATCATAGTAGGTTAGATTATCTGAACAAACTAACATGAAGAATGAATTCTGGTGAAAGTTGTACAAGTAAGCCTACAACCAACATGAAAATAAAAGTGATTGTGATTCACAACTCCTGCAGTTCTCTGAGGAGACATCTGCATTTACAGAGGTGATGGCAGTGGCACAGGAAACTCAGGTTTATTGCTGTTCCTGACTCCTCAGTGATCACAGAAATACCAATGTGTACTTAAAATGCACAGGATTCTCTTGTCTGCTAGAGACAAGATGACCTCACAGTGTCTACAAATTCCAATGGCACGTTGCAATAATGACTGTCTATTTTTAATATACCAATACTAAGAAGGGTTATGAAAAGAACTGTCATTGATTTACAAGAAAAGGTGCTTGTCACAGTGTGAACACTTCACGGAATCTTTTTGTCATTAAAATATGCTTTGCTTTGTTTTTCACTTGGTACAAAGGATTCTGTGCATTAGCAGCAAACCTGTTGAATGAGGGGAATAGGTTTGTCTTATTTGTAAAACAAATTTGTCCCTAAATAAGTTCTTACATCATTGATCACAACATTTAATTTTCCAAACTAAGTACAATCCTTTATCTGAAAGGATATCAACAGCACAAGTAGTAAATTAAAAGGTTAAAAAAATTTAAAATATTTAGCACGTATACCTAGGAAGATGAGTAAATTACTGTGGAGCAACTGAATTCATGTGGATGTACCAAGCCACAGGTACAGTCTGAGCTTCCTGGATGCTCAGGCTCTGTGTATCTGTTCACAGCAAAACTCAGTGAGCACATTTACTTTTCCATGTCCTTATGTCAAAGTTGACATGTAAGCCCTATGATTGCTCAGGTCTGTAGACTCTTTATCAAAACAAGATTCCTAATCCATGCCAGCCTGAAAGATAAGCTGATTTTGCACTGAGATCACGCTGCTAAAACTGAATATTAATTATAATAGGAGAAAGGATTTTAAAATCAAAAACCTGGATGAGTTGATTCATGCTTTGAAAATTAGTATTTACAGCACCCATCTCAATCTAACAATATAAAAGCTGCTATTTTTGCAACTGCAAAAATCATTCCTGTGATATCTAATAAGCATCTCTGTACAGCATCAATCCCCCTTGTAAATGCTTAAATCACATGTCAATATGCTGTAATATTCTGTGACAGGCTTATTTTCATATTCAAATGCCTTTGCTACACTCCATTTTACACAATCAGCTTAACAAAAACTCTTTTCCATCTGTTTCATAAGTCAACAACAGTAATTTCTGAATGGTCAACTTGTTCCCTCTTATCTCACTACTGAAGATAATCTACCATATACCAGATAAATCAGATTAGTTTTTGTAAGTCTGTTCTTACAGAGCCAGGCTCAGGGAGAAACAAACTTGATGTCTTTGTACCTCTTTCCACTAACATGTCATAATTTATAGTAATAACTTGTATATGGAAAAACCCCAAAAACCCTTCATGCCAAATTCTGTTCAAGAACTAAGTATTGTGATAAACCAAATAATAGGCACCTGAGACCTACATACTCAAAAATTGAAAATAATTTTCTGGTTTGGAATCTGTATCAGTCCTTCTGAAAAATGGAATTATGTCAGTGCTCTTAAAAGATGCACATCACATCACTTTCCCCAAATAAATACTTCTCACCCCAAACACAGATTTCCTAGACATCTTTTACGTGCTAAAACTTATTTCAGTATTTTATTAATTCATATATAGAAATACATGCGTATTACAACTTATAATTAGCCTTGAAGTTCATAATCACCTACATAAAGTTACTTCTGTGTTCCTTGCAAATGTTATTTAGGAGCAAGGATTACCCTGCATTTATCACTGAACCACAGCATTTGAGAGATGAAACATTGTGTTCATTTCTGAGACTGTACTGCAGCTTATTTTCCACCAGAGAAGTGAGAAACTACAAAGGAAATTCAAAGCTCAGAGGATTATCTGCTTAACCTCAAATGAATATGGCTAAACTGGAACAAAGTACAGCAGTGTTCTAATACTCAAGGTTTAGTGTTTCAGGGGGGAGTAATATCAGCATTAAATGGGGCTGTGGTTTTTGTGAGCAGATTCTGTTTGCCCCAGGTTTGCTCATAACACATCTGTAATAAGTGCTACCTTCACTGTGAATAACACAGGGACCCAGGGCTTCAGCTATTTGCAGAGACAGCACAGGAGGTGACAGGTAAAGAATTCATTGTTTAAAATGCAAAAGGAGAAACAAACAAATATTAGTCACTGGACATTTCTGATACAATCACCCCCCAATGCAGTTGAATTACCCTCAAGATAGTAGAGTCCATCATTCTACCTAACTAATATTTTAGGCTCCCTCACTTCAGTAAGCACCTTCAAATACTCCTAATAATTTGGAAAAAGCCAGCTGTTAGGACTGAGTTTACTGGCTAGCACTCTCAGCTACTACTGATTATTATAGGAAAAGATGTTTCAGTGGTTAATGGAGGTGAAAAAAGCAGGAAAATACTCTTGAAAGCAATTATGAGATAAAAAATTCCTGGGAAGACAAGTCAATAAATCCCAAGTCTCTTAACCATTGTAATCAATCTTCTGTTTGTAAAGAACAAACAGCCAAGGTACATAAGGAATACCACTCATTACTGGCTCCTCACTGTATTTTTTATAACCCAACAGAGCAATTGAAGGCCTGAGGCCAAGTCAAATAATTTTAATTTTTCTGTAGTAATGAAAAACAAAGAGATCTAGTAGCATGAAGATGTTTGCTTTTCACTTACCAGAGGCAAAGGATTCTGCACAGGCCATTTAATCTTCTGCCATCATTAAATGTTATCTTTAACAGTAAAGGGAATTCTGGAATATAAAAAACAGCACAAAATATCTGTGTATCATTCAAGTGTATAGTAAACAACCCAAAAGCAACAGACACTTAAAATAACCTCATATATTAGGTAACTTTTAGAGCTCTGTGTGACCCCTAAGGTTATCACATTCTCCCAGACATTTCTGCATTCTGTCTGTTTTAATACATTTGAACACAAACTCTCAAATCTGTGCAAGAGAAGTAGGAATAAAAGAAAACTAAGTTCTCTGCCTTTAAGATCCAGACTTATTAAAGCTTCACTGTGCTACACTTTCCTCACAGAGTAGAAGCAAGGACAGACATTAGCATAAGGAAAAGAAATCCTTTCCTTGAACTATCAGATTCCAAACATGGCTCATGAATTGTTAGAACATACAGCCTGGTT